CCTCAGATAAGTGCCTAACCAACCAGGCTGTGAAGGCTGTATGAGCCACTGGGCTGTTAGCAGCAACAACTTACATGAATAGGAAGCCAGCAAAAAAATCCTGGCCCAATGCTGGGGAGCAGGAGCAAAAAAAAAAAAAATCATGTAACCAGTCATAGGTATATCTGTCTCTCTCTGTCTTGCTCTCCCTTTTTTTTTTTTTTTTTTATTACACAGGGTTTGACAAGGATAGGTTAAAAATCCCTAGCTTTATTGACAAGCTACTTACAGGTTAAGGATTCCTAACTTTATTGACAAACTAAGAGTTGTTACCTACATCAGCTCATTTGAAAGCATTTTTGTCATGAGACATACAAGAAGGCTGGAGACAGTGGAGATGTCATGTCTGAGGGCAATGTGTGGTGTGAATATAATGCAGAGAATTCGTAGTTTGGAAGTTAGGAGGAGGTGCGGCACTACCAAAACTGTTGTCCAGAGGGCTGAGGAAGGGTTGTTGAGGTGGTTCGGACATGTAGAGAGAATGGAGCGAAACAGAGTGACTTACAGAGTGTATCAGTCTGTAGTGGAAGGAAGGCGGGGTAGGGGTCGGCCTAGGAAAGGTTGGAGGGAGGGGATAAAGGAGGTTTTGTGTGCGAGGGGCTTGGACTTCCAGCAGGCATGCGTGAGCGTGTTAGATAGGAGTGAATGGAGACAAATGGTTTTTAATACTTGACGTGCTGTTGGAGTGTGAGTAAAGTAACATTTATGAAGGGGTTCAGGGAAACCGGCAGGCCGGACTTCGAGTCCTGGAGATGGGAAGTACAGTGCCTGCACTCTGAAGGAGGGGTGTTAATGTTGCAGTTTAAAAACTGTAGTGTAAAGCACCCTTCTGGCAAGACAGTGATGGAGTGAATGATGGTGAAAGTTTTTCTTTTTCGGGCCACCCTGCCTTGGTGGGAATCGGCCAGTGTGATAATAAAAAATAATTTACTTGTTTTTCTATAACAAGGATCTTTAGTTTTAACTTGTAAGGTGTGGCGTACATGCTGCATACACATCAGTGTTTACTTTCCACTTGGAAATCGCAAATTTTAGTTTCCTCAGTACAGCAGTAAATATTAAACTTGTATATTTTGAATGTGTAGACATATGCAGATGGAATAGGGTTCATTAAATAACTCTTATAAAGTTAAAATTTAGCTTTTTGATTTGGGGCATTTAACATAAAATTTTGTGTGTATGAATTTAAGATTGACCTTTCTATTCACATTCAACATAGTATTTGATCTTCAGTTGGCAGAACTGTTGCTGGGTGCCAGGTGCATTGTAAATCTACGCGATGACAATGGAGACACTCCACTCATTATTGCTGCCCGCACCTGCCAACCTTCTATTATAAAACTTTTGTTGAAACATGGTATGGATGACTAATATGGTTTCTCCTGTTTCTTATTTTTTCAATGTGTTGTTTCTGGATAATATCCTATGAAAGCCTCTTTATATTATATCAAACTTACAATACTTATTTTTATTAATAACTCTTTTGAGTTTAGAGCTTAATTTGATTGTAGTATTATTATTATTTGTTTTAGCACCAGCCATCTCCACCTTAGGCAGGGTGACCTGAAAAAGAAGAAATGAAAGTTATGTTTCTTTCTACATTTAGTAATTTATTGTATTTATTGAGTGAAGGTTCCTGTTGGAATTAAGCAGAGTAGTGCTTGTTAGGTACAGGCAAAATTTTTTTTATTATGATTTTAAGGTTTTTCTCTACAGTTTTGTCTTTTTGGATATATCTGAAACCAGATTAAGATAATCAATTTAAATTTGGCATGTGGATGCTTTGTCATATGTGTTAGTACTGTATAAATCTTTAGTTTTGTAAAACTTAATAGCAGGTTTCAAGGTGGCTCGTGCCTCAGTGTAGCACAGTCTGCTTCCAGCTGAAGGACCTAGGTTTGCTTCCACATCGGTTGTAAACATTGGATAGGTAGGTGGGCTTGTTTGCTCATGTTACTTCTGTTTATCTAGGGTGTTAACCAACTGTTGCAAGTCACATCCTGGGAAAGAGGATCAAAGGACACCAATGGAATTAAGCCAGATACTGTATAGTGGCTTTATTGGATTATCCTGGGTTTAATAATCATGTAAATTCTTCTTTCTTTCAACAAACCGGCCGTATCTCGCCAAGGCAGGGTGGCCCAAAAAGAAAAACTAAAGTTTCTCTTTTTAAATTTAATAATTTATACAGGAGAAGGGGTTACTAGCTCCTTGCTCCCGGCATTTTAGTTGCCTCTTACAACACGCATGGCTTATGAAGGAAGAATTCTGTTCCACTTCCCCATGGAGATAAGAGGAAATAAACAAGAACAAGAACTAGAAAGAAATTAGAAGAAAACCCAGAGGGGTGTGTGTATATATATATGCTTGCACATGTATGTGTAGTGTGACCTAAGTGTAAATAGAAGTAGCAAGACGTACCTGAAATCTTGCATGTTTATGAGACAGACAAAAGACTCCAGCAATCCTACCATCATGTAAAACAATTACAGGCTTTCATTTTACACTCACTTGGCAGGACGGTAGTACCTCCCTGGGCGGTTGCTGTTTACCAACCTACTACCTAGGAATCATATAAATTCTTCTTCTATACTCTAAATGTTTTTCAAAATTAGTATTTTTGTTTTTGGATTTCAAGAAATACTTTCAGGAATAGTAAATTTGCATCTCTGCCCTCTTATGTTGTTTGCATCACTATCTGAGCAAGCTCCAAGCACTAGTAAACTTAGTTTGTTCAATACAGACCTCAAGATGGAGAATATTTTTTGACAATGTAGCTGTTGTACCTGCTCTCCTTGCTTGAGAATGAAAATAAATGTTCTTATTGCATGCAACATTGTCCATCTGTATGGAAAGAAGCTTGTTCAGTATATACTTAACTGAAATAAGAGGATTTAAGTAGGAATGGGACCTCATACTTGTTTGTTGAAAGAAAGAAGAAATCTTGCAATGAAAAGTTGTTTTTTTTACAAAAATTGTTATATTAGGGTACAGTAAAAATACTCCGTTTGTCCACTGCTGGATATTGTAATACGATCAGAATCCCTGGGAGCAAGGATGAGGAAACACTAGTACACTATGTCCTTCCTGTACCTTGCATAACACCTAACTTAATGCCTCAAATGATGTAGTGGAAGTTTTAGCAGTAAAGATTGAGAACCAAAATCTAGTCATTGTGGTAGTCTACAAGCCTCCGGATGCAACGTCCTAGCAATTCCAGGAACAGCTGTTAAAAATTGACCACTGTCTGGAAAATCTTCCAGCTCCTGCCCCCAACCTCTTGCTCCTGGGGGATTTCAACTTGAGGCACCTAAAATGGAGGAATATAGCAAATAATGTTGTTGCAGTGATAACACCAGGAGGCAGCTCTGACGAGAACTCTCACACACAAATGAACTTTTAAATCTCTGCACAAAATTCAACTTAAATCAGCAAATAATAGAGCCTACTAGACTGGAGTATACACTAGACCTCATCTTCACTAACAATGATGATCTGATACGAAATGTCACCATATCAAAAACAATATACTCAGATCACAACATAATCGAGGTTCAGACATGTAGGCATGGAGCCCCAGACCGACAAAATGAGATTAGTCACGAGGGAGCCTTCACCAAATTCAACTTCAATAACAAGAACATAAAGTGGGACCAAGTAAACCAAGTCCTAAATGATATAAGTTGGGAAGATAGACTAAGCAACACAGACCCCAACTCATGCTTAGAACAGATTAATTTGGTGGCACTCGATGTATGCTCAAGGCTTATTTCTCTAAGAAAAAGGAGGAGTAGATGTAAAATAGAAAGAGACAGGCGCTCCCTTTACAGGCGACGGAAAAGTATAACAGAGCGGCTAGAAGAGGCCAATATATCTGAAATGCGTAGGGAGTCACTGGTCAGAGAAATAGCAAACATCAAACTTAAGCTAAAGGAATCTTATAGGAGTCAGGAATTGCGGGAAGAACTAAGAGCCATAAATGAAATCAAAAGAAACCCAAAGTATTTCTTTTCTTATGCCAAATCAAAGTCGAGAACAACATCCAGTATTGGGCCCCTACTTAAACAAGATGGGTCCTACACAGATGACAGCAAGGAAATGAGTGAGCTACTCAAGTCCCAATATAACTCAGTTTTTAGCAAGTCGCTAACCAGACTGAGAGTCGAAGATCAAAATGAATTTTTTATGAGAGAGCCACAGAATTTGGTTAACACAAGCCTATCTGATGTTATCCTGACGCCTAATGACTTCGAACAGGCGATAAATGACATGCTCATGCACTCTGCCCCAAGGCCAGACTTGTGGAACTCCGTGTTCATCAAGAACTGCAAGAAGCCCTTATCACAAGCTTTTACCATCCTATGGAGAGGGAGCATGGACATGGGGGTCGTCCCACAGTTACTAAAAACAGCAGACATAGCCCCACTCCACAAAGGGGGCAGTAAAGCAATAGCAAAGAACTACAGACTGATAGCACTAACATCCCATATCATAAAATCTTTGAAAGGGTCCTAAGAAGCAAGATCGCCACCCATCTAGATACCCATCAATTACACAGCACAGGGCAACATGGGTTTAGAGCAGGTCGCTCCTGTCTGTCCCAACTACTGGATCACTATGACAAGGTCCTAGATGCACTAGAAGACAAAAAGAATGCAGATGTAATATATACAGACTTTGCAAAAGCCTTCGACAAGTGTGACCATGGCGTAATAGTGCACAAAATGCATGCTAAAGGAATAACAGGAACACAAAGAGTAGTAGTCAACAGAGTAAAGTCTGAGGTAGCTAAGGTGAAAACCTCTGTTCCACAAGGCACAGTACATTGCAGAGTCACTTGTTTGCACAGAACTGCTTAATGCCTCAAATGATGTAGTGGAAGTTTTAGCAGTAAAGGTCGAGAACCAAAACCTAGTCATTGTGGTAGTCTACAAGCCTCCGGATGCAACATCCCAGCAATTCCAGGAACAGCTGTTAAAAATTGACCACTGTCTGGAAAATCTTCCAGCTCCTGCACCCAACATCTTGCTCCTGGGGGATTTCAACTTAAGGCACCTAAAATGGAGGAATATAGCAAATAATATTGTTGCTGTAATAACACCAGGAGGCAGCTCTGATGAAAGCTCACACTCACACAGCTTTAAATCTCTGCACAAAATTCAAATTTAACCAGCAAATAATAGAGCCTACTAGACGGAGAATACACTAGATCTCATCTTCACTAACAATGATGATCTGATAAGAAATGTCACCATATCAAAAACAATATACTCAGATCACAACATAATTGAGGTTCAGACATGTATGTGTGGAGCCCCAGACCGACATAATGAGACTAGTCACGAGGGAGCATTCACCAAATTCAACTTCAATAACAAACACATAAAGTGGGACCAAGTAAAACCCAATCCTAACCGATATAAGCTGGGAAGATATACTAAGCAACACAGACCCCAACTTATGCCTAGAACAGATTAACTTGGTGGCACTCGATGTATGCTCAAGGCTTATTCCTCTAAGAAAAAGGAGGAGTAGATGTAAAATAGAAAGAGACAGGCGCTCCCTTTACAGGCGACAGAAGAGAATAACAGAGCGGCTAAAAGAGGTCAATATATCTGAAATGCGTAGGGAGACACTGGTCAGAGAAATAGCAAGCATCGAACTTAAGCTAAAGGAATCTTATAGGAGTCAGGAATTGCGGGAAGAACTAAAAGCCATAAATGAAATCGAAAGAAACCCAAAGTATTTCTTCTCCTATGCCAAATCAAAGTCGAGAACAACGTCCAGTATTGGGCCCCTACTTAAACAAGATGGGTCCTACACAGATGACAGCAAGGAAATGAGTGAGTTACTCAAGTCCCAATATGACTCAGTTTTTAGCAAGCCGCTAACCAGACTGAGAGTCGAAGATCAAAATGAATTTTTTATGAGAGAGCCACAAAATTTGATTAACACAAGCCTATCCGATGTTATCCTGACGCCAAATGACTTCGAACAGGCGATAAATGACATGCCCAGGCACTCTGCCCCAGGGCCAGACTCATGGAACTCCGTGTTCATCAAGAACTGCAAGAAGCCCCTATCACGAGCCTTTTCCATCCTATGACAACTTACCTCATAATTTGTAATATTTTAAAATAAAGAATTAAACTAAGTCTGCCCGAAATGCCTAGCCATGCTAGGCTATCTAGTGGTACACTCTGTAATCATTATTTAACTACATGTAAACCACACAACAACCAAATTCTGTAAATTCAACATTGTAATCTTTATAGAGAATAAACTTTGAATTTGAATGGAGAGGGAGCATGGACATGGGGGTCGTCCCACAGTTACTAAAAACAACAGACATAGCCCCACTCCACAAAGGGGACAGTAAAGCAACAGCAAAGAACTACAGACCAATAGCACTAACATCCCATATCATAAAAATCTTTGAAAGGGTCCTAAGAAGCAAGATCACCACCCATCTAGAAACCCATCAGTTACACAACCCAGGGCAACATGGGTTTAGAACAGGTCGCTCCTGTCTGTCTCAACTATTGGATCACTATGACAAGGTCCTAAATGCACTAGAAGACAAAAAGAATGCAGATGTAATATATACAGACTTTGCAAAAGCCTTCGACAAGTGTGACCATGGCGTAATAGCGCACAAAATGCGTGCTAAAGGAATAACAGGAAAAGTCGGTGATGGATCTATAATTTCCTCACTATCAGAACACAGAGAGTAGTCGTCAACAGAGTAAAGTCCGAGGCAGCTACGGTGAAAAGCTCTGTTCCACAAGGCACAGTACTCGCTCCCATCTTGTTCCTCATCCTCATATCCGACATAGACAAGGATGTCAGCCACAGCACCGTGTCTTCCTTTGCAGATGACACCCGAATCTGCATGACAGTGTCTTCCATTGCAGACACTGCAAGGCTCCAGGCGGACATCAACCAAATCTTTCAGTGGGCTGCAGAAAACAATATGAAGTTCAACGATGAGAAATTTCAATTACTCAGATATGGTAAACACGAGAAATTAAATCTCATCAGAGTACAAAACAAATTCTGGCCACAAAATAGAAAGAAACACCAACGTCAAAGACCTGGGAGTGATCATGTCGGAGGATCTCACCTTCAAGGACCATAACATTGTATCAATCGCATCTGCTAGAAAAATGACAGGATGGATAATGAGAACCTTCAAAACTAGGGAGGCCAAGCCCATGATGACACTCTTCAGGTCACTTGTTCTATCTAGGCTGGAATATTGCTGCACACTAACAGCACCTTTCAAGGCAGGTGAAATTGCAGACCTAGAAAATGTACAGAGAACCTTCACGGCACGCATAACGGAGATAAAACACCTCAATTACTGGGAGCGCTGAGGTTCCTAAACCTGTATTCCCTGGAATGCAGGCGGTGAGAGATACATGATTATATACACCTGGAAAATCCTAGAGGGACTAGTACTGAACTTTCACACGAAAATCACTCACTACGAAAGCAAAAGACTTGGCAGACGATGCACCATCCCCCCAATGAAAAGCAGGGGTGTCACTAGCACGTTAAGAGACCATACAATAAGTGTCAGGGGCCCGAGACTGTTCAACTGCCTCCCAGCATACATAAGGGGGATTACCAATAGACCCCTGGCTGTCTTCAAGCAGGCACTGGACAAGCACCTAAAGTCGGTACCTGACCAGTCGGGCTGTGGCTCGTACGTTGGATTGCGTGCAACCAGCAGTAACAATCTGGTTGATCAGGCTCTGATCCACCAGGAGGCCTGGTCACAGACCGGGTCGTGGGGGCGTTGACCCCCGGAACTCTCTCCAGGTAAACTCCGGGTAACTAATGTATCTGGAATGTACTCTCTGAGATTTGGGTGTGAATAACCAAGTGCAGTATCACAAATGAAAGGGTCAGATATAATGGAGTTCTGTATACTTCTTTATTTTTAATTTATCATTGTTTAAGCAAGAGAATGTTTTCTTTTTCAATGCAGTTGCATTGGTTATAAACATTGCAACAAGGAGGAGGCTGGAAGCATTGGAAATGTCATGTTTGAGGGCAGTGTATGATGTGAATGTTATGTAAATTATTCTAAGTATGGAGATAGGAGGAGGTTTGGGTTTGCCAGAGGGTTCAAGAGGGGTTGTTGAGATGGTTTGGACAATAAGAGAAGATGGAGAAAATTAGAATTACAGTGGACCCCGGATAACGATCAGCTCCCAACTCGACCAATTATGTAAGTTTATTTTTGTAAGTGCTTTTTAGGTGTATTTTTAGGGGTCTGAAATGGACTAATCTAATTCACAATATTTCTTATGGAACAAATTCGGTCTATAACGGCACCCAAACAGACTTCTGGATTGAAATAATATCGTTATGCGGGGGTCCACTGTACTAGGAAGACATTCAAATCTGGGGTGAAGAGAAGGGAGGGTAGGTGTTATCCTAGGAAAGGTTGGAGGGAGGAGGTAAAGGGAACTTTGAGGGCAAGGAGACTTAGACATCCAACAGGCTTGTGCTAGTGTGTTAGATAGGAGTGAGTGGAGTCAAGTGTTTTTTATGATTTGATGGGCTGTTGGAGTGTTAGCAAGGTTATATTTATGAAGGGATTTAGGGAAACTGGAGATGAGAAGCACAGTGCCTGCACTTTGAGGAAGGGATAGGGAATGTTGCAGTTTGGAGGGTCATCTTAAATTTGATGTCAGCATACATCTGACAAGACAGTGATTAGATATATCAAGGTGAAAGTGTTTTCCTCTTTGTTGTGTCACCCTACCTCGATGGGAGACCGCTGGTGTGCTTAAAATAAAAAAAAAGTGAATACTTTACAGTAATATTGATCTAGTGATGATTCAGGTGTAGTATAACTTTATAACTCAGTATTGTGAAATATTTATTCCTTTTTTTTTATCCTCTTTAAAATTTGTAATTTTCTGGAGAGCTCTTCTGTAGTCATTATATTAGTGGATTTTTATGTGGTCTATGGTTAAAATCCATTTCACTGTATACAGTGCAGTAAATGATTGTATTTGTTTTTCTATTTTACAACATGCTAACAACATTATTATTAGATAAAAAGAGTATTTTATTTATAAATAAACAATTAACACATATTTTTTCTTGCCTGACATAATCAAACTAAATGTGTAGTGTCAATCAGTTGCTTAAAAAGTGGTAAAAATAAAGTGTTGAAGAATATGCAGAATCTAGGGCCAAAATATTTCTCAGACTTCACCGATAGAGAAAAACATTGGGTAACCAAACATCAATAGCTATTCGTTAAATACTGTTACAGGAAATATATAGTATATAAAGTATTATAACTTTATTATATTTTTTCATGCTTGTTCATATTAACCAATTATTTATTTCTTCATCTTAGTTCATAATAGGTTTGGATTATTGATTTAGTTCATTTGAACAGGAATGTTGGCATACACTATTTTCATGATTAATTAGATAAGATTACTCTTTCAGGAGCCAACACCAATTATCCCAATGGTCTCACTGGCACAACACCTCTCCATGAAGCAGTTGAAGGAACTCGTGATGCTCTCTTTGCTGATTTTGGAGTTGTTTTTCTTCTTCTACGTAGTTATGGTGCACGGTTAGATGTAGAAACTGTAACAGCAGGAGACACACCCTTGTACCGTGCATTATTATTGGAGAAGAACAAAGCAGCTGCTCTTTTAATAAGACAAGGGTGAGCACTTACCCATACCCTGTTCTGTAGAATCACATTCATTTACTTATTTTTTCTCTATTACCATCCTAATATGATTCAGCATGTGCTTCAAATTTTAAAATGACAAAAAAGTACAAAATTGTTTAGATAAAATTATATTTTAAACTGATCTTGTCATAGAACAGGAAATCTTAGAGTATTTCATATTAAGGATGGGAGGGTAGCAAAATTTTTCTTGGTACTGTTACTCGATTTTAGGCTGATCCCTATACCATCAAAATTAGCTGATACTCATCAGCACTGATACTTTAGCACATCAGTATTACATATAGCCAGAAAGCAGACCTACCAATTTTTTGTATGTTATTTGATTGCAATAATATTAACTTTCTGAAAAGGTTCAACATGTATTGCTTGCATCTGTGTATCTCTCAGTAACTATAAATGTAATTTATATAATACTGATTTTCATGTATATATTAAAACTATGCTATTGTTTTTTTTTTTTTTTTTTTAACAAACCAGCCATATCCCACCAAGGCAAGGTGGCCCAAAAAGAAAAACGAAAGTTTCTCTTTTTAAATTTAGTAATTTATACAGGAGAAGGGGTTACTAAGCCCTTGCTCCACTATGCTAATTTTTTTTTTTTTTCAACAAGTCGGCAGTCTCCCACCGAGGCAGGGTGACCCAATAAAGAAAGAAAATCCCCAAAAAGAAAATACTTTCATCATTCGACACTTTCACCACACTCGCACATTATCATTTTTTTTTCAAGGTGCAGTTAAACTTTTGGCATACCAATAAAAAAAAAAATCCCCAAACGAAAATTTTTCCCCAAAAACCCCCTTAAAAACCAATTCCCATTTCCGATCAAGTCTAAGAAAAAAACTTTTTGAACCCCTTCAAAAAAAATTTTTACCCTTCCCTCCAAAGAAATCCAAATCCTTGTCTCCATTTCTCCATTCCGCTCAGCCGTTTTGGGGAATAAAGCCCTTCCCACAAATTTTCCCCCTTCCTCCACCCAAAAGGACGACCCTACCCCCCCTTCCATTTTAGTCTTTCCAGCACACTTTGACCCATTCCAAAATACCAAACCACCTTTTCAACAACCCTCTTTCCCCCTTGATAATTTTTATTCCCACACCTTTATATTAAATTTAAAATAAAATATTTTTATATATTTTATTAAAAAAATAATTTAATATATTATAATTAATTAAAATTTTATATTAAATATATATATATCTTTTTTCTTTTATTAAAAAAATGTATGAAAGGGGGGAAGGGTCCCTGGGGTTTGGGCAGAGAGAGTTGTCCCTTTATAAAAAGGGGAAAAGGGGAAAAAAGAGTTGTAAAAATTATAAGGAATATTTACTGAGTTACCGGGAAAAGTATACGGTAGGGTTAAAATTGAAAGAATTAGAGGTAAGAAGAATGTAGAATTGCGGACGAGAAAGGGAGGCTTCAGAGTGGGTAGGGGATGTGTGATAAAGGGTTTACATTGAAAATATATGTGACTTATTTAAAAAAGGTAGGGAATTTTTTTATTGCTTTATGGATTTAAAAAGGCATATATAGAGTGGATAGAGGAGCAATGTGGCAGATGTTCAAGTATATGGAAAAAGGTGGTAATTACTAAAATGCTGTAAAACTTTTAGAGGTAGTGAGGCTCAGGTTAGGGGGTGTAGAAAGGGGAGAAAACTTCCCCGGAAAAGTAGGCTTTGGGCGGGATGTTAAAAGTCACCTGGTTGTTTAATAATTTATAGATGGGGGTTTTTAAAAAAGTAAATGTGGGTTTTCGGGAGATGTGGGGTTAAAATTTTGGGGGAACAAATTCAAAAGGGGGAAATTTACACTTACTTTTTTTTCGATGAAAATGGCTTTTGGGAGATTCTAAAAAAAATTAAAAAGGTTTTGGATGATTTGAAGTGTGTAAAGTAGAAAGTTGAAAGTCAACAAGAAAAGGTAAGGGATGGGGTATCAAAAGATTTTTATAAAGAAAAATTGGATATCAAATTGGGGAGGGGAGTATGGAAGAGTGAAAGTTTTCAGATATTGGAGTTGACGGGTCGGCGGTGGATTAGAAGGGTGAGGGTTTAAACTGAATTGATGAGGGGGAAAAAAGGGGAGTGGTGCGTTTAGGTTATGTGGAGTCAAAAAACTATCTATGGAGGCAAAGAAGGGAATGTATGAAAGTTAGTAGTCCAAAAACTCTTAAATGGATGTGAGCTTGGGGGAAAAAGCACAGCGAGGAGACGGTTGGGAGGCATGGAGAGTCCTGCAAGGGCAAAGTGTGGTGTAATATTTTCAGAAAATTCGAGTATTTTTTTTTTTTGGGGATTTTCTTTCTTTTATGGGGTCACCTGCCTCGGTGGGAGACGGCCGACTTGTTAAAAAAAAATATAATATATATATATATATATATATATATATATATAATATATATATATATATATATATATATATAAATATATATATTATTTTTTATATTTTTTTTTTTTTTTTTTTTTTTTCAACAAGCTGGCCCTGTCTCCCACCGAGGCAGGGTGACCCAAAAAAGAAAGAAAATCCCCAAAAAGAAAATCCTTTCATCATCTTTCAACACTTTCACCACACTCCACATAATCACTGTTTTTGCAGAGGTGCTCAGAATACAACAGTTAGAAGCATAAACATATAAAGATACACAACATATCCCTCCAAACTGCCAATATCCCAAACCCCTCCTTTAAAGTGCAGGCATTGTACTTCCCATTTCCAGGAACTCAAGTCCGACTATATGAAAACCGGTTTTTCCCTGAATCCCTTCACTAAATATTACCCTGCTCACACTCCAACAGATCGTCAGGTCCCAATTTCCATTCTCTCCATTTACTCCTATCTAACACGCTCACGCACGCTTGCTGGAAGTCCAAGCCCCTTGCCCACAAAACCTCCTTTACCCCCCCTCTCCAACCCTTTCGAGGACGACCCCTACCCCGCCTTCCTTCCCCTATAGATTTATATGCTTTCCATGTCATTCTACTTTGATCCATTCTCTCTAAATGACCAAACCACCTCAACAACCCCTCTTCTGCCCTCTGACTAATCTTTTATTAACTCCACCACCTTCTCCTAATTTCCACACCCCAAATTTTCTGCATAATATTTACACCACACTTTGGGCCCTTTAAAAGGAATCCCCGGGCTGCCCCCAAACCCGTTCCTCGCTCCCTGCATTTACCCCCCAAAGGCTTCACCCCATAAAAGGGGTTTTTGGTATACTATATTTTCATACATTCCCTTCTTTGCCCCCTTTAGAAAACTTTTTTTTTTTGACCCCAACATAAAACCTTTCAACGCACCACTCACCTTTTTTCCCTCATAAAATTCTATGTTTAAACTTATCCTTCAAAAATCCACCCGGGCCTACCTCAACCCCAAGTATTTTAAAAAATTTTTACTTTTTCCCAAATACCCCTTTTTTTCCCCAATTTGTTATCCAATTTTTTTTTTTTAAATTCATTTGATCCCCTCATCACCTTACTTTTTCTAGTTCATTTTCCCAATTTCTACCTTTACACCCCCTTCCCCCAAAACTCACCACTAATTTTTGAAATTTTTTCTTTAGAATCCCCCTTTAAGCTTTGAAATTTCACCCAAAAAGTAACTGTTTAAATTTCCCCTTTTGAATTTGATTCCCCATAATTTTAATCCCACCCCTCCCCCGAACCCCCTGTTTTAAATTCTTTTAAAACCCCCCTCAAATTTAAATTTTTATTAAACAACCTTTGGTGACATTACCATCCCTTTTTCTAAGACCTACTTTTACGGGGAAAGGGTGGGTCTCCCTTTTTTTTACAACCCAAACCTGACCCTTCACTACCCTCAAAAAAACTCTTTACAGCATTTAGTAATTACCACCTATTCCATATACGGGGGCCCCCCGATGCGACCTTAATCCGTGCAAGGGGGCGGGCCCTGTTTTGCGAAATTTTTCGTTGTGAATAAATTTTTTTCCCCATAAGAAATAATGGAAAAAAAATTAACCCCCGTGCAAGAAAAACCAAAAGTACAAAAAAAATTTTTTTTTTTCCACAAAAAAATGTTAATTTTAGTACACACAAACAAAAAAAGGCATGCAAAATTTACTGACACTTATTTTATTAAAGGTCTGGTGATGATTGAGGGGAGGGGAGGGGGGGAGGGGAGAGTTTGTGTTTAAAAGGGGAACCCCCTTTCCTTTTAAAGATTGAGGGGGCAAGCCCTTTTCGGGGGTTACTTCCCTTCTTTTTTTAAATTTCCACAAGGCCAGCTTAAAAGTCACTGGACTTCTTTGGGCCCCAAATATTGTCCATAGTGGCCTGTACCTCTCTTTCCCTTTTAGGGATTTGTCTAAAGTGGTTCAAAACATTGTCATTGAAAACAGTCACCGAGGCTTGCAATGCTGTGTGGGGTGATTTTCATCAAAAAAGGTTTGCCCCTTCAAGCCATTTTGAAACCTTTTCCCTTAATCTTTGAAGTAGGCAATTCCTTAAATTTTTCTCTCTCCCCTCCTTTGAACCATTTTTTCCGCAGGTCGGGCCTCTTGCTCTTGAAGTTGATCTACAGTCATCGGGGTTTAAGTTTTCATTGTCCTCCTCCCCCAAATCTTCTCACCCTCCCCCACAAACCCCCAAAACCCCAAAGGGATTTCCCCCAATGCCCCAATTGATTCCTCAACGGGTTATACTCCTCCAGGGTTGCCCAAAACCCCTTTCCCAAAACCCCTTTTGGTCTACACTTTTTTCGGGCCACGTTTTTCCAAGCAGAGTTAAGGGTTTTCTCTTTAGTCACTCCCTCCCAAGCCTTACCTAGGTTTTTCCAAATTTAGGATATTAAAGTGACCTTCCAAAACTCTTTTAGAGTCAATCGAGTGTCTGGGTCACTTCAAACACTTTGGAAAAAAGAGTTTTTTGTACAGTTTTTTGAAGTTTGGGAAAAGACCTGTGGGGCCCTGGGTTTCAGGAGAGGAGTTTGGGATTAGGAGGCAAAAACTT